TCACAGGACCCTCTGAGCCAACCAGGCATCTTTCCTTCACATCGAAGATGAATTCACATCCCCAGCTGTGGGAAAGATAAGTGGAGGACTAGCACCTGGAGAGGGGATGAGAGCTGGGTCCAGTTTTATGGTTAGGAGGGAGGGATTTTCAAATGAGCACAGGGGAAAGGGTCTGCCCTAAGAGGCCCTTGGCACACATAGGAGGAGCAGTTTACTTTTCATCACTGGAGTAGGATGTGCAGGGCAGAGGTGTTCAGGTCTGTGTCGTGTCCTTTGTCCAGTCTTGTGTTTCATGTCTTACAATTCACAGTTGCGGTGTTTTTGCTTTCTGCCCTCAAAGGTCTTATCTGAGATGTTAAGGCATCGTTCCTAGGGTCTTGAACTTTTGCACTGCCCGGCCCAGTGCCCATACCATCTGTTCTTTGGCTCACTATCTTGGACATGCATCGGAATCGCATCTGAGAAGTGTCAGGTCAGGTGTCTTTTACAGCCTCCTTACAGGTTGTATCGGTAGCTGTGCTGTGCAGCCCTCCTTGTAACCACCCGGGACTTGTGAGAATCTAAGAAGATTCTGAATGTAGCATTGTCTCCCATCCATCTTAGCAATTTTGTAGGCAGTTCTTGTCACAGGCCATTCTGTTAGAGTGTTTTTTCAGGCTCCTCAGAGTCTCCTCCATTCGGTCTCGCCGTATCCTCTGTCTTCTCGTGTGGCAGCACATCCATTTTGGCGTCGTTCCTTTCTCAGAGTTCTCTCTCCTCATCACACCACAGCACTTGTCTGGAAACGTGTCCTTGGAGTTTGTGTTGGGCCTGGAACTGCTCTGCCCTGCAGTGTAGACTTGGGGGTAAGTGGAGTAGAAAGGAGACTTTCCAGTTAACCTGTGGATAGGCTTAGCTACTGAGGGCAGGGCCTTAAAGTTAGGGCAGTGTTTGTGCAGGCTGTCTTTGGACCCCAGGCGGCTTGTCTAAGGAGAAATTAGAATTGCACGGCAGTTAAAGTCTCTCCATCTATATGACTGACTTTGGTAATTCATTTCTTTGCAGCATCAGAGGGACTGGATGTATAGCAGAGATAAACAGAAGAGGCTGGAGGAGCACAGTCAGAAGGTGGGTTCTCATGTGAGGTCAGAGCCAAGACATGACTTTTGGCCCTAGGTTTACTTGATCATTTGGATGGTTTGGTGGTTTAGTTTTGGGTTTTTTTGTTTGTTTTTTTTTTCAAGATGCAGAGCCACCGGCCCAGCAGACGATAGGCACTAGAGGGAAGGTGAGCCTGGTGAGGAAGGTGAGCAGGGACTGCAGGACAAAACTAGATGCTCTTTTGCAGGCGGTGTACTTGTGGTGAATCTGTGTACATACTTGTTTTTTTGTTTTCCAGGCAGTGCACCGACTTCTGACGTACAGTCCAGTGTGATGGGGACCCTGCCTGTAAGAGATCACGGTCAAGGGGTGTCAGACAGAAACTGCCATGGGGGCAGCAAACTCTTGGGCAGTATCTCAGTACTCACATTTGCCTCTGGGGTTTTTTTGCAGGAGATGTAGACAGCCTGACAGGGCTGAAGCCAACTCACAGTGAGGTGATGGACACGGTTTGGTCTCCTGGAGCTGTCCTTGTAGGTAATCTCTGAGTATTGAAAGGATCAGCAATGAAGCACTGAGCTTTTCTGATTGCAGGTGCCATCTGGGTAACCTTTGGGAGCAGATGAGCATTGGAGGTGAGTCAGGGAGGCAGCAGGAGGAGCAGGGATCCACTGCAGCTTTAGAAATGCCCTCTAATTGTTTCTCTCTCTCGCTCAGGTATCCCAGAAGATGACAGCACATTGTCCAAGTCTGGTCAGAGCCAGTGACACAAGGACCTGCCTGGGTGACAGTGAGTAGAGGAATCATTGGGGCTGGGGCCACGTGCCACACTACTCAGATCCTGTGTCTGGTTTTCTTTCTCACAGTTGACTCTGAGTACTCTCACGAGGACAGGAACCTCTGAGCCAGCCCAGGTGCCCCTCCTCTGCATCAAAGACGGATTCACATCCCCGGCTCTCGGAAAGATAAGTGCAGGGCAAAGACCCAGAGAGGGGCTGGGAGTCGGTGCAAGTCTGTGCATTGCCCGGAGGGATTTTTGCAATTAGTATGGTGCAATGGGTGTCCTGTAGCAGGTTATTTAGAGACCTCAAAGGAAGGGCTTACTTTGTATCATTGGATTCCCGTGTGCAGGGCAGAGCAGTTCCGGTCTGTGTCACGTCCTTTGTCTCCTCCATGTTTGTGTCCTTCGTCTCTTAATTGTGTCACATGGTGTGTGTCATCACAGGTATGGGGTGTCTCACTTGGGGTCAGCCTGGAACTACTCTGCCCTGCTATGTGGATCAGTGGGTAGATAGAATATTGCTCAGGGTCCCACATCAACATGTCAGTTCCCTTAGACAGTCGAGCCAATGGCTGTACGGTCCTGCCGGATGGAGCAGGTGTCCATAACTCGTGTGCAATCATTATAGCTGAGTGTTGTGGAGCTGATGGTACTTGGATAGCAGGGCCTTGAAGCTGGGTTGTCATTTGTATTCTTGTATGCTGCAGTCAGAGTTCTCACTCGCTCAGTGGAAATGACTTCTTTGAAGTGGTTCAGGTCTCAGTGACCATGTGGGTGACCTGACTAACCCTTTGTTTTTTGTTGTTTTTTTTCAGATAAGTGGACACAGTGTACCCCGGACCGAGACAAGTTGAAGCAGCCTGGGAAGAAGGTTGTCTTGGGTGTTGGATGAAGGATGGCAGTTTTAGCCATAGGAGTCCTTTACCTTGTGCCTTTCTGTTTTTTATTTTCCAGATGGGGCCCAAGCGGTCTCGAGGGGTAGCGGCTCAGCAGGGACACGAGCGAGGTGAGAATTTTACTCCCCAGTCGAATTTGGAGTTAGTTTTAGGATGTTGTCTAGTTGGTCAATCTATGCATATATGTTGTAACTGCTTAATTTTTTTTTCTATCCCATACACAACCCTTTGCCCGTCTGCTGAAGGTGCCGAAGGTCCATCCGATCAGAGGTCAAGCTAAAGGAGCCCGAGATAACCAGTATGAGGCAGTACATCAGCACAAGCCTCCATGTCTGGGTTGTCTTGCAGCGGCCGTCTGTCCACTTCACAGTGTGTAGCAATGCTTCGGCGTGCAGTCTGATGGGGTTTAGAGGTTTTTGGCTTTCCTTGTGAGCAATCCCTAAATGTTTGAGAGCTCAGTGTTTGAGCATTTGCCCATTTCATTTGCAGGGGCGATCTTGGGAGCAGCTGAAGAGAGAGGAGCCTTCTAGGTGAGTTGGGGAGGCAGCAGGAGGAGCGGGGATTCACTGCAGCTTTACAGATGCCCTCTAATTTTGTGTCTCACTCACTCAGGTATCCCGGAAGGTGACAGCCACAGTGTTGGACTCCGGTCAGGGCCTCGGTGATGGTGAGTAGGGGGATCACTGGGGTTCGAGCTCCATGCCACACAACTCACATATCGCTTATGGTTTTCTTTCTTGTAGTTGACTCAGAGTAACCTCATGACTGCAGGAACCACCTCACGATGGGGCGACTGACTCAGATTGCTCGTCTTGAGCTGTCCTTGTCTGCAATCTCCGAGTTTTAAAAGGATGAGCAGCGAGGCACAGAACTTTAGTGATGGCAGGAGCCATCCGGGTAACTTTTGGAAGCATCCAGGCATTGGAGGTGAGTCGGGGATGCAGCAGGAGGATCGAGAATGCACTGCAGCTTTAGAAATAACCTCTATTTTTTTCTTGCTTTCATTTCTTTTGCTCTCTTCTTCTGATTGTATTTCTCTTGGGCTCTTGGTCCTGATTTTAATTCTCTTGGGCTCTTGTCCTGATTTTAATTCTTTCTTTTAGGGCTCTTGTCCTGACCTTAATTCTTTCTTTTAGGGCTCTTGTCCTGACCTTAATTCTTTCTTTTAGGGCTCTTGTCCTGATTTTGATTTGTTTAGTCTTCTCTCCTGGTTTTATTTCTCTTAGGCTCTTCACCTGATTTTAATTTTTTAGGCTCTCTCCTGATTTTAATTTTTTTAGGCTCTTGTCCTGATTTTTATTTTTTAGGCTCTTCTCCTGATTTTCATTTTTTTTAGGCTCTTCCCCTGATTTTAATTCTCTTAGGAGAAGAGCCTAGAGAATTAAAACCAGGAGAAGAGCCTACTTAAACCAGTAAATTTTCAAACCGCTCAGCAATTACAAGCCAATTATCCGATTTCCCAAAAGAACTACACCAACAAATACGGCTATAAAACAAAAAAATTCAATAAGTAAAAAATCGCTTAGCAACACTGCCACCTGGTGACAGAGAAAAGGAATTGCACATATATTTGATATAAAATACTGCCACCTGCTGACGGAAAAAAAACTGCATTGAAAAAATTTTGAACAGCGCATGCGCAATCATTGGTGAGACGCCGGCGATCACGTGGTAGGTAAGGGCAGGCAGGCGAGGGACCGGCGACGCATGCGCAGTGGCTCTCGTGCCGGTGCAGCGCTCCCTGCTCGAGTTAAGGGCCGGTTGCGGCGGCAGGGCGGGACTCGCGGTCTCCCGTCTCTCCCGGGGTGTGTGTGGGGGGAATAACGTGAAGATTCCTTGGGGTGAAAGCGCAGAAATGAGCGAGGAGGGACGCTAATTTGGGTAAAGTCGGTCACCGGAAGTAGAGAGCGACCGGAAGTCCTCCAAGGCGCCGGCCCGGAAGTCCGCCAAGCCCACAGTAAAGATGGCGCCGCCAGGACCGGAACGACCACACTAAAGATGGCAGGCCCGACCCGGAAGTTCGCCAAGAC